TCAAGTATTTGGAGCAATATTTTGGGCAATTTCTTCAAGTTTCAATATTTAATCATGGTGCACTCGTTCCATCTCCTAATTTTAATATATATTTTTTGCTCATTATTTTAGTGCTTAATTTTTGTGTTTACTTTAAGTGTTTTATTTTCGTATTTCATTTGTGTTTTTAATTTTTGTGTTAACTTTTTAAATTTAATTTCGTATTTAAATTATGGCACCTAAAAATGTATTTGGCGTATTTAAAAAAACTAGTAAAAAAAAGTAGTAAAGGTGAAAGTAGTAGTAATCCTAATCCTAGTCCTAATCTTAGCCCTTCTCCTAGAATTAGAAAACAAATAGATGAAATGACTCATGTTGATGAAACTTCATTTTCCCAACCTCCCGCATGTTATAATATTAATTTCGGAGAACAACTAGATCATGAAATTTTAGAAAGACAATTTGGCAATGATATTTTTATTGAGGACGAAGAAAATGAGGATGAAGAAAATGAGAAAAAAGAATTAGACGAAACACCCACTAGTCCCGCAAAACAAGCTCCAACATAGATTAATCTCGGTCTGGAGATTTATCCCCTGTACCTCCTATAAGGGGTAAGCCTAAGGGTGAACGTCCAAAAACATCACTTGTATGGAAAGTTTTTAAACATGATAAAGTCAATCAACGTGCTACATGTGAAATATGTAAGTAACGATTTGCGCACACCAAAAGTGGTGGGACGGGGGGTTTATCTAGGCACTTAGGTAGGGACCACAAAGCTTTATGGATACAAGCTAAAATAGAAGCCGGACAAATACCAGATCCTAGCACCGGTACTAGCACTCCTAGTGGATCTGACGGAGGTTCTAATTTTTTACAACAACAGCTTGACCCTGCTTCTGGTACTATTTTACGCCCCTATAACAAAGATAGAGATCGTGAGAACTTAGCAAAAATGGTGGCTGCCTGTGGCTTACCTTTTACTTTTCCTTCTCACCCTGCTTTTGTGCATTATATACAAGAAACTTATAATCCCGCTTTTCAAGATTTTCCTAAGACTACAGTTAGAAATGATGTTTTTAAATTTCAAACCGAATATCTTCAGTATATTCGTTGTGTATTTTTTCACTTAGATTGTAAAGTGTCTATCATATCTGATATAGGTCGTAGTCCTAATGGTTGTGATAATTTAACTGTTACATGTCATTGGGTTGATTATCACTTGAACATGCAAAAATGTATTATTGGTTATAAATTTGTTGATTCAAAACATACTGGAGCATATATTGCAATTACTGTTCTACAAATACTTGATTTTTATGGACTCATTGATAAAGTTTTAACTATCACCTTAGATAATGCTTCTACTAACACAACTGCAACAACTAGCTTAAGAACTAGACTTTGTCCAATTAATTCGGTAATTTTTCATGTTAGATGTGCATGCCATATTTTTAACTTGGTTGTAAAAGATGGTATTAATTTATTTTCTGATACTTGTAGTAAAGTACAACATGCTTGCGGCTATATTTTTCGTGCTAATAAAACGAGTAGAATTCGTGAATTTGCTCAACAATGTGCTAGTTCTAACCTTCCATATAGAAAAGTTCCAAAAGATATTTGTACTAGGTGGAATTCTACTTATGAAATGCTTAAAGTTGCTTATGATTATCGGCTGCCTATACAAAAGGTATTTAATATGCATAATGGTATCCCCGCTGATCAAATTATTGATTCTGATTGGGATCAGATCAAAGAGCTTACTAAATTTTTAGAAAATTTTTATTATGCTACAAAATAATTTTCTGGTATATATTATCATACCATTACACAAATATTATGGTATATTTGTGAAATTTTTATTGTATTTGGTAAGTATAAAACTAATACAACTTATGCACCGGCCATTAATGAAATGATTGCAAAATTTAAGAAGTATTTTTTTTCTATTCCCCAAGTTTATTTAATTTCTACTATACTTAACCCATCTTTAAAATTAAGAGGTACAAACGGACTTGTTCGTAAAATTTATGAGAATTTAGCAATTCAAGAAAATAAATAACTATCTCTGGAAGACTAGCAAGCTAACATATATTCTTATGTTAGATCAATGTTTGATAAATATAAATCTATGGAAACAACAGGTGGTGAAACTGCTACTTCTACTTCTAAGTCTAGAGCAGAAGTTCTATGAGAAGATATGGATGATATAACATGTTTTGATTGCTCTATTGATGATGAACTTGATTTTTATCTTAATCAAGGATTGGAAAGTATTAAAGACGAAGAAGGCAACAAATAACTTTTGGCATGGTGGAGGGAACGTGGCAAGGCTTTTCCAACACTTTTAATAATGGCCCGAGATATCCTTACTATTCAAGCATCATCAGTAGCATCGGAGAGTGCTTTTAGCGCGTCAAGATTTCAAATCGGAGATCATAGACATTTATTAGCGGAGGACAACCTAGAGATCTCCGTATTATTCAGAGATTGGATTAATTCAGAAAGAGAAAATCTTGAATTTGAAAAATTAACCACTAGGGAAGAAGAAGAATACAATGAGATACTTAGCACTGGGAGCGATGACGACATGGAACTCATGGAACATCAATCAACATTGCCAATTCCAGAATAATGTCCGAGAGAAATTATAGATAAGTTACAATGAAGTTATATATGAGCTTACAAATATTAGTATGATAATTTGTAATTGGCTACTAAGAGGCCTAGTTCAAACAGAACCCATCCTAGAAGGTGGCTGCGTAGATTAGGTGCTCTTCAAAAGAATTATATTTGTATGTGAGATTTAAAGTTCTATTAATAAAATAAAAGGCTCTAAGCGTTGAATTGTTTTTATGAATTGTCTTACGCTCTTACTTAGTTACTTAATGGCTTGAAATTATATTAAATAAACTATAACTCTATTATAAATTTATAATTACTAGAATTTTTCATTACAAGTCTTTTGTTTTAATATTTTATAATTCTTTACTTAGTTTCCTAATTTCCGTTTAATTTTTAAGTTTATTAAATAAGTCAAACAACTAGCCGTTGCAAACTTAAAAACTTAGTCATTGTCAAAAAAATAGTCGTTGCCAAACTTAATGCTTAATTTTTTTTTTTAAAACGACACTTAAGGCTCGCGAACCCGTCCCGTCCCGCCCGGTCCTGTTTGTTAGCAGGACGGGATGGGCCTACCGTTTCGTCCGGTTTGTCTCGTCCCGTCCCACTCCGTTTGTTAACGGGACGGGATGGGCCTACCGTTTTGTCTCGTTTGTCCCGTCCCGTCCCGTTGGACAGTCATAATATAGACTAGCCAAATAATACAACTAATCCAATACTGATGGGGTAAGGCACAATTAATCCTTGCAAATGACAAACTTTGATGTTACAAGAAATAAGATAGTATTCCTTATTCCATAAATAATTAATATGAACACATATTGCCTCTCATTAACATAATAACAAGGAAAGAAACCGATAAACAACTGAACACAAAAGAAATGGAAAACGTAAAAGAAATAACAACTTATATATAGCACTGCCTCTTCCCTAGAGCATGAATGCAAACAAGACACCAAACACAATTGAAAATCCAACAACCACTTTGCTCATGGTGCCAAAAACTTCAGAGGCAGCATTAGGCTTAGTGGTCGGCGGCGTCGAGCCGGAGGGTGTTGTGCCGGAGGAAGTTCCTTGAACTTTAATGGCCAATTTCATGCCAGTATCACAGTGATTAAGTTTAGGACAAACAAAATAGACGTCAACAGGAGTAGTTGCAAGGGTAATGGTAGTGCTGCCATCAGAAAAGCTTTTGATGGCATTTGTAGTGTTGCAATTGTCGTAGCCATCTTTTGTTACTATGTCCACCCCATGGCTTCCATCATAGTTGAACACTGATCATCATCATCATGTAAACATATATATCAAAAAATGTAATTACATAACCCCATCGATACTCTAAGGTTTTTCTTTTACTATCACTCTGGTTTATATTCTATGCTGTATTTTCACATTTTTAAATTATCATGTAAACAATAAGTAATACTCAATGTTATTACTTTAGAATAACTATATTTTATATTGATTGGAATTTTTAATTTATATTTTTACTTTATGTTTAATTGAATTCTTTTATAATAGATGCTTAAATTTATTTTTCTTTTTTAAATAATACAATTGAACCTTTACTTTCATTTTCCGTAATTTGATACTTAAAAGTACTTTTTTAAAAGATTGACCAAATATAATGAGCTTGCAAACAGTGGCGGAGCCACCTGACACTCCTTCGCAGTAAAATACACGGTGTAGCTAGGTAACAAAATAAATTATATGTAAATATATTATGTATTGACTCCCTTTAATTTCCTGATATGTTTATTTTTATATATTTTGATACCCCTTAACAAAAATTCTGGTTCCTTAAAAATTATGTTTTTGCTCATTAACCAAACACTAAAAAATATTTTTTAAAATGTTTTTTCCCTTATCAACCAAACCTGAAAAGATAGATGATAAAATCATGCATTTTTCAAGAAAAGCTTTTCCACGAAAAATACTTTCGTTCGTACCAAACATGAGGTAAGCTGGAAAACTATGAAAAGTGTACATTTTGCTGACTGTACAAAGAGTTTTTAAAAACCTGGTCTTTATATTAGGTGAACCTTGAGTAAGATGTGATCTGATAAAGTCAAACCATGATGTAAATCTCAAACAACCATATAATAATTTCAAACTCAGTACGTCAGCCATGACGAGGCGTCCCCTAATTTGGTGAGTGCGATCTAATTATTTTATTGCTAATAGCTTTTCGACATTAACATTTTTTAACTAGGGATCTTGTGTAGTGGATGAAAATAGTATGAAGTGGCGGAGCCAAAATTTTTATTAAGTAGAATCAAAATATAAAGAAATAAATTCACCAAGAAGTCAAATAATGTAATTATATAATACATATACATATTTAAAAAAAATTACCGAGCTATACAGTGTAATGTTTTCGACGAATGAATGTCGGTTGACACCCTGAATTTGACTGTTAATTAATATCACGCACTCTGTGTCTCCATCTTCATTTAGAGTTTATTCTTTGCTTCATTTTATCACTCTTTATTAACAACAAGATGTTTGTTACAGTCACTCGCGAGAAAACGATGATTTAAATGATTCTCCATTTTTTAGGAAAGATAAAGGGTGATTTAGTCAAACAACCGATATAATTAGTGTTATTAAATAATTCTCTTAATTGGTGCACCAAAACCTTAAACGACATTTCAAATGGAAGAAAAGGGTTATTTTTTGATCTAATTATTTGATCAATCTCGTGGTCTATTAATATCTTTAACTAAAAATTTTGCCTTTTTTTTTTGGAAAATAAAATGAAATTTAATGCTTTTACATAAATATATGTTTCAAAGCCTACACTCTAAACTTATAAACCACAACTTATTCCCACATAGTATTTTCACCAAATTATATCAGCTTATCATGATTAAATGATTTAATAAGATAAATTTAAATATTAAGTAATCACGGTTATTAAGTAGGAAAAGTGTATACGCAAACACATGGTATGCAGCTATTAGTTGAGCGTAAACACCAATACGGATCCAATTTTGCTTATCTATCTTTATCTTCACTTTTTTACACTTATATATGTTTGTAGAGTTTTCGGAGTTCCCACAAAGAAGATTTAAAAGAAATATGTAATTCCTTTCCAAAAAAAAAAAAAGAAGAGGTAAATAAAAATGACAAACTTACCAAGGGTATCACCGACATTAAAAGTTTCACCAGATGCCCAAGAGGAGTAATCTACAGATTGGCTCCATCCATTGCTGCCTCCAACAATATGCTCCTTGGCAAAAGCCATTGGAGAAGCAAGGAGAAGAAATAGGAAAATTGCTGCAGCCACATCCATTAGATATATAGTTTCTTCAAAGAATTGAAATTAGAAGCCTTTTGTTCTTTGTTTCTAACTTTATTGGAGACAGATAAAAGATATTGATGAAGAAACACACAAGTTTCTAATGATGTTAGCTCAACTTATATAGACAGCTCATGGTCATGAAAAGCTTATTGGAAATGTCATTTATTTAATTAAGCACAAGAAGTTACTTAAAAATTTAAGAATTTTAGTTATACACTATCAAATCACTTATTTTTATATATGATAATTATCTATGATACACATCAATTCTTAATAGGTTTACATATTATCAGTGTATATACAGGGACGGATGTAGGTTATTAATAACAGGTTCAGTTGAACCCATCACTTTTGATACAGAGTAAAAATTTATATGTAAAAATACATTAAAACTATAAAAATAGTAAATATGAATCCATAACATTAAAATTATAATGGGTTCAATGCTAAAACTTTAGAAGTTGAACCTCTTTATCCGTAAAACGGTACAGTTGAATTTGTTACGTGGTTTATAGACAAACGAAATGATTTGATCCAAAAATGATAAATAAATTAAATAAGAATATAAAACTTAGCGTTGAAATCGAGATAAATGACAGATAGCCTGGTTCCGGGAGCAAGACTTTCAAAGGCAGTAATAAGAATAATGTGTAGCATAACTTTGTCAGAGCTCTCGTGTGTTATAATGGTTGTTGAAGTCACTATTTATAGCTATACATAGGGAAAAAAGGTCTTAGGATCAAGCCCCTCTTAAATGACAATAATGGAGGCCATTGATGAATATGTAACGACAGACCATGAATGCCAAAATTCTTTGCAACGACTGCGTATTTAATACTGAGAAATATTCTTCATTAAATGTCATCTGGTGATAAATATTCGTTTGCTCCCGTTGACTATGTTCCCTTCGGGATCTACCCAATGCCAACTGAAATTGTTGTCGTCGGTCTTGGTTTCCACTCGCTTCATCTTCTGTCTGCCTCCGGTTCCATGTGTCACGCTGTCATTCGAGCATTTAATATAAATCCATTATACCCTATACATAACCCATAGAGTTTAAATTCTGGATCCGCCTCCATGTATATATCTTAAATAAGAAAACAATGGTAGTAGTTCGAAGTTTGTCATGAGTAACATTATACTAGGGAGTTTGGTACTGCTTTTTCCCATGTCTACCTAATGCATAGGGACAGTTTTGCATAGTCTCCCCTCACAATTTTCTTCTACTTGCCTTGCTGATGTAGCTTAGCAACTTGGCTTTATCGTTACGAAAATGCCTGCCTCGTTTGATATATATTTAGAACGGTTTTAGGTTTCTGTAAAAATAAAAAAGCACTATTTTCTTCAAATTCTGCAATCATAAAATAAAATTGTAAAACCCCGTAAATTTTTACAATTCATTCGTGTTAATTTTAGGGCTTAAGGAGTGCCATTTAAACAAACCCGAGTCACGCAGGGCCCACACGAGTATAGCGGAGTCATGGGAACTCTTGTGACTAATGCTGTGTTAGGATCGAAATAATCAGGTGTCATGCGTAAGCTAGTAAAACAAATCGTGAACGACGATAAATAAGACAACAAAAGAGAAATATATCAAAAGAGACACAAACATTTAACGTGGTTCGGATAATTGACCTACGTCCACAAGCAGATATGAGCAATCCACTATATAAAAGAGGGTACAAAATAGCGAGAGAACAACCTTACAAAGAGGCACACACAAGTGACAACATAACATTTGTCTCACAAATTTTTCCCATTAAACAAGTCTTTCAAGCCCCTTATGGCTACATTGTGGATGCTACTCAATGAGAAGGAAGGATCCTCAATTTATAGAAGTCCAAACCTTTTCATCCGAGAAAAGGGACTAGCCAAATATGAAGATTTATGATTTTCTTCTAAGAATAGAAAAATTCAATTATAGTAAATATGTTGTGGTTTTCACCAAGAGATAAAAAAACCTAATATGGTAAGAAAATTAGGACAACACCTAACAATTCTCTCCTTTGGCCTGAATTTTCTAACAAATAAACTTGATTCACCCTTTTCACATAACCTGCAACAGATCGCATCTACAAATCTCCACCACAATGATTTTCTCAAATAAAAATCATGATTACCGTAAAAAAGGTTGCGGTTAGAACTAAACCCATCAAGATGAACCTGTCTTAAACCTTGCTCGGATACCACTTGTTAAGATCGAAATAATCAAGTGTCATGCGAAAGCTAGTAAATCCAACATTGAATGACGATAAATCAGACAACAAAAGGTAAATATGTCAAAAGAAACACAAACATTTAATGTAGTTCAGTCAATTGACCTACGTCCACTGGAAGAGATGATTTATCCTAAATAAAACAGAGTACAAAATATCGAGAAAACAACCTCACAAAAGAGGTACACACAAGTGACAATATAACACGTGTCTCACAAATTCTTCCCCTAAACAAGACTCTCAAGCCCCTTATGACTACATTGTGGATGCTACTAAATGAGAAGAAATGATCATCAATTTATAGAAGTTCAAACATTTTCTTCGAAAAAATGGACTAGCCAAATATGGAAGATTTATGATTTTCTTCTAAGAATAGAAAAATCCAATTATAGTAAATATATTTCCCTTTCCTCCCAGAGATAGAAAAACCAAATATGATAAGAAAATCAGGATAACACTTAACATGCTGGTATAGCTTGGAATGTATTATAACTCAAAAGAATGGGATAAGAAATCAAAGGAACAGGGAATGACTCAGGGGACAGACGTATAGAGTCGACACGTTGCGTCCCCTAGTGTGTCTGAGCCCCAGCTTCTTTGAAGCAATGCGTTTACCCGAAAAATCGGATAGAGTTAAATTTGTACATAGTCCTAAGGATATGTGGTATAACTTTGATATAAATCATTCAAGGGAAATAGAAATATCCAATCTTGACTATAAAGCCCTTAGAAAAAATAACACAGTATAAAAGAGAAAAATAAATGAACAAAATAAGATGAAGTGTTGGAGCTCAAAAGGTTAATCTTTCAATATGAGAAAATAGGATTCCTGTTACAATACAGAATGTCCTTACAGAAACAATAATCATCCCTTTTTATAGTGGAGGGATCCTACTTCAGATATAATAAAAAATACATAGTGGGGAACCCATGATTAATTAGCTTTTCCTTAATTCCTGCCAGGATTCTTTTCCCTAGTGCGGTTGCAACGACTCTTGTCTGTGAGCTCGTTATTGACTCGAGCTCTCGATTTTGACTCAAGCTCGATTCTGACTCGGAGCCAGATATCGATTCGGGGTCGGTGCCAGTCGGTCTATGAATCTTAAGCTTGATAACTTTGCTTCGTCTTGTAGCTCGACTTGGATTCGAGCTCGATAATGATACCGATATTGACATTGATCGGTCCTAGAACCCGAGGCTTGATGACATAACTTCGGACCTCAATCTGATATTACGAAGATGCTCTTCGATCAAAGTATTATCATCTCGACCAGTTCGTACGATGGACTGATCGGTTTTGGTCGTATACAGATAGTTCCCTCATTTTTCGGGAAGGATATAACGAGAAACGACATAATTTACCACCGGTGCGATTAGATATATACTGACGTTTGCATTGAGTCCGACCGTGACGTACGTGAAAGCTGTCCCGTCGGTTCAGTTTACCGAGGCATTTAATGCGTGTTAGACGATGGTCGGCCATTACCGATATTGAACCGCCACTGTTTAGACTATAAATAGCCCTCTCCTTCATTAAATCAAACTTTACTTTTTGCTCTAATCAGACCTCTAAATTTTCTCACTCTTTTCGTCTCCTTTTCGCCGCCTGTAGAACCATCTTCATCAGTGTTGAAATGACCATCTTTTAATCTTCCTTCACTTCTCTTTACTCATACTAATGGCAAAAACCTCCACGACCGTACCACAGAAGGAGAAAACTTCTTGCTCCTCTTCCCGACCGTCCGGCGGCAAGGCGCCGGTGAAGCCGCCTCCCCATGAGTATGTTCCCGGCCCGTGTACTCTAAAGTCTGATTTCAATGTCGAAAATCCTTCGTCGATCCCTGGCCGATGTGAGCAAATTCCTTCTCCCAAAGAGAGCATCACTGCTCATGTGGAGGGTTTTTTAAGTGTTTATACTTACCCCTTCACATTGGGTCCCCGCGACCCAGTAATCATTGATTTTTGTAGAAGATATTAGGTCACTCTTGGCCAAATTCACTCCTCTATATGGCGCATAGTAATCGTATTGCACTTCTTTTCTAGCAACGCCAAGGGGCTAGAGTTTACTCTAAATCACCTTATGCGGTTGTATCGACCTCGAATCCATCGAGGACTAATCAGGCTCCAATGTTGGGTAACGAAGGCCGTGATCTCGAGAATCAATGAAGACAAGGATCGGGGTTGGATGAGCCATTTTGTAAGAGTGAGGACCCGTGACATTATTCCGGAAGAGAAGATGCCGTTCCCCGAGGAGTGAAACTTTCACCGTAAGTGATATTTTAAACTTTATTCTTCATACCTCATTCGATTTCACCTGATGCTTCTTTCGATATGCAGCTGTTCCTTGGATGCCTCAAGCGGTGCCCGACCTTGAGGATTGGGTTCAGAAGTTAGCCTCGACTTCAACTTATGTCGAACGCGCATGGCATGATTTGGCCAAAGGCAGATGGGAGGCCAAGAATCATGGTAAGGGCATCCTTTTTCATGTTTTCGGAATACTCTTTATGCTTCATCCGTTACTAACTTTCTTTTATGCAGGCCTGACCAAGGATGCCATTTTGAGGCCTTCAAGTGGCGAGAAAGTGACCAAGTCCCTGGTTCTGAAATCGGGTGAAGATAAGAAGAGGAAAACTACCTCGCAGTCCGAGGACCCCAAGCCCAAGCCTCGAAGGGCGAGAATAAAAGTAATCGCCCTTACGATGGACTTGGTCTAAAGATTAAGAGATGAAGAAGAGGAGGAAAATGCCTCGGCACTGACTATCCGATCTAGGAAAGCCGTCGAGGTTTCCAAACATTCCGAGCCGGAGGCGGCTACTAAAATCAAGCCTCGTGTCGAGGAGGCTTCCAAAAAGAAATCGGGTGAAGGTCCCGAATTACCATAGGTTGAGGTCGTTTCTCAGCCATCTACGACCACACCGGACGGGGCCGGTTCTGAGACCCCGAAGATCAATCAGAGCA